GAAGTGATCACTGAAGATATGGGTGCGGTCACAAAGTCTGGTGAAGAGATCAGATGATTTTCAGCCATCAGAAAGAATAGCATCCGGGTTCTTAAGGGCTTGTCTTACAACAAGCAACCATATAAGTGAGGTGTCAGCTAAGTCCACATCAAAGAAGCACAGTAGCATGTGTGATCCAAGGATTGTAAATATAAAATCCAAATGTGGAAGAAGGAATGGTCTTAGAGCTTAAATTCTGATCACCCAGTTTGCAGAAGGCTATGAATTAGAATGAAAATCCAAAATCCATTGTCAGAGCTTCCACATAGTTTAAACCTCCATTGAACTCCCTCAGACAGTTGATCAGCATTGTGAATAGTGTTGCCCTCAGAGAGAAAGTGGATTAATGCAGATATAGTTAAATTAACATTTAACATATAATCATTTTTTTCCCTTCTGACTCATTTTTAACTTGCTTCAGTTTCTATTATATTCTTTTTTTTTTCTTGGATTGGGATTTTTCTGTTTTATTTTGTTGTGGTTGGAGTTTTTTGTATGTTTTTCTAATCTAGGATAGGTTATCATAGAGTAAGTAACGAGATTAATAATTCCTAAGGATTATTGCAGGGGAAGTTGGGGGCAGTGGAGTACAAGAATAGAAAAAATGTCCTAAAATTGATTGTGTTTTTTGCACAACTTTAAAAAATATAGTTAAATCATTGAATTGTAACATGAGTGGATTATTTGGCAATTAAATTGTTAATAAATAAAATCTGGGGAAGAAAAAAAGATAAAACAAGTTCAAGAGAGTGAAAACACTGCCTTGAGTACACGTAACCTGAATTCAGAGAACATATCAAGTACAAATTTGACACACTGGACACAAATGATCTAACACCAGAGTAATTATCGAATGACATCAAGAACACCATACACAAAGAAAGCATAAGGTCATTCAAAATACATGAATGAAAGAAAAGGCTAAAACGATGTTGGGAAATGTATCTTGACTGTGGAGTAGATAATGAGAATGGGAGAAATGATGAGGTAAAAGAGCTGAACAGAAAATTTGAAACCAGTATAAGGAGACAAAGAAAAGCATTGTAATGAAATGTGCAAAGAACTGGGTTCCAAAGCCACAAGGTAAGAGCATGTTCAGCTTACGTCAAGTTGAAAGTCTTGAAGATAAATTCAGTTCTTGAGCTGCAATACTGAAGGATTTTGTGGGTAAAATATTGAAGATGTGGGAAGCATCAAAAGAAGATGAAAGGGGTTTAAGTTTTTCAGGAAAGATGGAAGAGACAACGATAGTTACAGTTGATGGACTCTTGTGAATATCTTCAGGTGCCTTCTGAAAGGAGAGGGGAGGATGCCCTGGCGTCATCATCTTCAATTCCACCATCCGTCTCTGCTCCCTTACCCTCAGTGCCAGATAGTATTATTAATCTTCCCCTCCCTCAATGTCTTACATCACATCCCAGGAGGTGACATACATTCTGCCCTGGTTTCAAGTTGGTGAGGCCCCCACTATGAACATTTCCTACATGACTTTGTAGCTAAGGCAATGCCAGGGGAAAATACAGCCACTCCTAGAGGGTTTGGAGCAGCTTAGTGTGTCTGGGGCAAAGCAGCCATCTTGTATTTTTTGAGCGCCAGCTACAACTTTGGGGTCAGTGGTTTTGAGGGCTGAGGAACAGCACAATCACCCTGTCAGGCAGGTGAAGGTCAGTGAACCAGACTTCATGGCAAACTTTTTCCAGGCAGTGACTGCTGCAGTTGATAAGGACTAATCAATATTGAAATCAGAGAAGATAAGCACAGCTGCAGCTGATACAATTTTATAGCAAGGCCTCCATTCAATGGTGCCACTCCAGGGTCTGGAGATGGCGGATTAACCGAGGTGGTAGTAATCTGCTCAACTGACTAAAACCCACTGACAGCACAAGTGTGGTCATTGGAAGAGTAGCACCTCAATTAATATAAATTCCTAGTATCAATGTTTGCCATCTAAGCAAATCTAAATCAGCAGTTGTCCTCCTAGCTAGTTCTTGCCAAGAGATATCAAGTTCCTAAGAATCCGATGGAGTATTTTACAACTATAATTAAAAGAAGCCAAAATATCCCAACTCAAGTTTGGCCAACTTCTGGACCATAAGAATTATAAAATTGCACCCTCCTTGGATAACTAACTATGTGACACCCCGGCCATTAGCTTTCCAAGTGGTGATTGTTTTTAATTATGAAAAATGAGGATAGAAAGGTAATTACTCTTTCCTTCATTGAATCCAAAGACCAATGAATTTTCCCCCCAGAGCATATATGATATCTGTGGAGCTATTGGCAGACAATTATCCTGTGACTTTGCCCTGCCACAATAGAAAAACAAGTGACCTTCTTTTGAGTTTGTTTCTTTATAAACCATAATAAAGAACAAATTTTCAGAAAAAATGAAGGTGCTAGGACCATTCCAAGAGGTAGCACCTGAAGGGGACTGGAGGAGAAGTCTGCACTGCGCTGAGGCATGAGTGCAAAACGAGACTCTAGAATTAATGAGACCCCAATGGAAATGTTTCCAAACCTGAGGCAGCTGTGGCAGCACTGATGAGCTTAAGCTGGGAACTTGGCAAGACAGCTACCTGGCCAACTGACTAGAAGAGATCCATATTTCTGTCCATTGCAAAGAAAGGTGGCCCCACAGCATGTGGAAACTATCAAATAATAGCATTAATTTTCCATTCAAATAAAATTTTGTTGAAGATATTTCAAAAAATATTGCAGCAGGACATTGACAGCTGTTTGAAATTCGTGCCAAAGTCAGAAGAGGGTGTGGGATGGATAGATCATCGCTGACTCAGATGGACCGTGGCTGGAAGCAGAAAACGCCAGAAAGACATTTACTTGTGTTTTATTGGCTACCCAATGGCAAGGAACTGTGTGGATCATGGCAAACTATGGATAGCCTTGATAAGAATGGAAATTCCAGAACACGTAAGTGTGCGGAACCTGTATGTACATCGACCAAGAGGCAGAATAAGGGAATATTTCATAGTTTAAAGTCAGGAAAAGTGTCTGTCAGAATTGTATACTGTCATCGAAACTATTTAATCTGTATTCTGAGCAACTCATCTGAGAACCTGGACTATAGGAATAGGAATATGGCATCAACATCAGAGGAAAGTTTTTTGACAACTGTTGATAAGCAGATGCCGCAACCTTGTCTGCGAAAAGAGGGAAAGATTGAAGTACTCGCTGCTGATGACTAGGGGCTGCAGCCTTCAATATGGATCGCAACTCAACATAAAGGAAAAAAAAATCCTCACAATTTGACCAATCGATAACATGATAAATAAAGGAAAGATTGAAAATGTCAGGGATTTTATTTTATTTGGATTCGCAATGAGCACTTAGAGGGCCATCAGCGAGGAAATCAAATGACATATTTCACTGGGTGAATCTGTTGTACTAAACCTCTTGAAAGGTGTTAAAGAGTAATGCTATGACCGAGGCCTAAGGTTCGCCTGACCTAAACCACAGGGTTTTCCATGACCTCATAAGCATGCGGGCGCTTGACATAAAATAAGGAAGACCCGAGAAGAATTGATGTCTTTGAATGATGGTGTTGGCAAAGAATATTGAAAGTACCATGGACTGCCAGAAAAACAAACAAATCACCAGCAGACGCTCTTTGAAAGCGAGGCTGGTGGGATGTACTCTCACATCCTTTGGACATGTGTCAGGAGAGATTAGTCCCTGGAAAAGGACGTCGTGCTTGGTCAAGTAATGGGTCCGCAGGAAAGAGAAAGACTGTCAATGGGTGTGTTGACACAGTGTCTGCAACCATGGGCTCAAATATGGGAATAATTGTGAGGATGGCCCTGAACCAGGCAGTATGTCTTTCTGGGGTTCATATGGATCATAACCAACCTGATGTCACCTAACAGCAAGGTAAGACTGATATCTACGGGGCTCAAATGCACCAGCTGCTGTGCAGGATGAAGATCAGACTATGTCACCCAGAAAGATTTAAAGTCTCTGAACCCCTATATGGGGTAGCTATGAGTTAGTGGCTTAGTGGATTATGGACTGGACTGCTACCTCCGAGATCACCGACTCAAACTCACCGCCCGCTCCATGGACAAGACGAGGCAGTCTGCTCCTGTAAAGAGTTATAGCCTTGGAAACCCTAGGGAGCAGCCCCCAGACAAAGGAGCGCAGCATCCTGGAGAAAAGAACTGCCCGGATGTTAACTCACCTTATCCTCAGTCCGCGTCCTCGAGGTTCCTAAAGTGAAGGAAAGGTAACTGCTGTAAGACTCCACTTATGTTTAAAGTCCTGGTCTAAAGTGGAGTCTAATATAGGCTTCTCCCTCGCCTATGTTTCCCATGGATGGATTTTCATTCATATCTTCTGTCTATTACAAATATGATTTTCTTTCTGCACAAAGGAATAGTGAAAGTCTTTCAGATATGAGAGATCTTCATGCAATTTAAAAGTGCTGAATCCACCATGTTGGTGGGGGTGGGGGGGTCAACAAGAAAATAATTAGGGGCCATAGGCTCCCTTGGGAGGATGTGGGGCTACTTAAAGAAGGCAGACAGAAGCCACCATTCAGATGCTGTCCTATGACATTAACTTCGGGACTAGCAGCTACTACAGGCCACTGCCAGACCAAAGATCAGTTTTCAGATAAGAACAGTAAGGCTATTTCGGAGGGGGGGGGGGATCACTGCCATTGAGTTGATTCAGAGTCACAGTGGCCCGATAGGACAGAGAATAAATGCCCCCTGTGAGTTTTCAAGACTGTAACTCTATGAGAATAGAAAGTCCCATCTTTCTCACTCTGAGAAACTGGTGCTTTTGAACTGCTGACCTTGGGTAAGCAGCCCAACACAGAACCACTACACCACCAGGGCTTTCAGCTCCAAAAGCAGAAGCAATGGCTCTGCTATGAGTAACCCTTAATTCTCCTCTTGATTCCAGAAAGGCAAATATCAGATATAAATTCACTCCTCGCGTCTCACCTGCTGCTGGTTCCCTTTCCTGTTGTAAAGAGTTCACCAGTGAATAAACATCATTCTTTCTTGCAGAGTTTACTGAAAGGGAACAAAAGAATCATCATGACACAGTCCTTCCTTCATGTCCTTCATCTTACTCCAGACCCCTCCACCCATCGCAGTTTGAAGACAGATGAGTCATTTACGAAGATTTGCAGAGGTGACCAGAGGACAACGGAGACAGATTATGCTAGCAGTTGTCACCCCGCAACCCTTTCCCCAGCTCATTCTACACATTTGTGCCCAAGGCATTTGGGAACCCTTACCATTCTCATAGACAGGCTGCAGCGGCAGTGACGAGGGCGAGTTCAGATAGGTAGACTCTTGGGATACAGGATTCGGGGGGCTCCTGAAAACATAGAAACACTTGTTTTTATTTGGGAAAAAGTGTAACATTGAAGGAGAGAAACCTACTAAAAAGTGCCTTGAGTAGAACAACATCAATTCGTGGGCAAATTGGCATCTGGATGACACAGCTGGATGGGGAAAGTCACCATCCGGTATGGCTCATGGGAAACTGCTTCTTGTTATTGTTAGCTGCTTCACGTTAGCTCTGAGTCATGGTGCCCTTGCAACATAAAACATTGTCCAGTCTGGTACAGTATTCATGGTCATTAATGTGCTTGGGTTCATAGTTGTGGCTATTGTGTCAATCTCCCCCCTGGAGCCTTTCCTTCATTGTCACTTGCCTTCTATTTTACCTCTACCCGAAAATACTTTAAAATGCTCAAGATTGTTTCCTATATTCATGCCTCTCAGCACTTAACAGAATGATTCCCAGATCTTCTAATTGAATGAAGGTATGATTCTGGTCCAAAGCCTTGTAACATTCCTATTTTACATACATGGTGTGGTAGTTACGTAACCTGGTGTAAATTTGGGACTTGATAGGATTAAGAGTCAAGGGGTGGAGTGTAGGCTCTCAATCGGATCATAGTCAATGAGGCCTCTTGTGGGCATGGCCTTCTCCTGAGAATTCTGGGAATTCCTGGATTTCCTCCTTGGAGGTGGGAGACAGACTCTCTCTCTCTCTCTCCTACAGCTCACTCCATTGGAGACTCTACTGACAAGACACATGGCACTACACTGATAGACCCAGTGCCCTGGGAACTGTAGAAGCCACATGGAGACCCCTGCCAGCACTGAGATGCTTACAACGCCACTGGATCCAAAACTTTCTACCCATTAGCCCGTGATCGTCCTGCATTCAGCATCACTGTATGTGTTTCGTGAGTCTGAAGAGGGCTTTATAGATTGGTATCAGACATATGGGATAATATCAGACTTATGAGCTTGAACTGGCCTGGGTTGGGATGCTTTCTTAATGTACAATTATCCTTTATATAAAACTATCTCTTATACATATGACTTTCTATGGATTTGTTTCTCTAGTCTACCCAGACTAACACACGTGGTGATGGAGATAAATGAAGAAGAGAGATGAAAGAATTATAATTAATCATTTGATATAATCCATCTAACACCGTGGAAAGTTATCAGTGGGAGAACTTTGGAGTGACAGTGTTAGATATAATAAGATATGATAAGTTCATGACAGTGAACAATTTAATTTTTTTAATTCAAAATTTTTAACATTGGTTTCCTGCATTATTGGCATACACAGAAAAAGTAGAGGCTCACCTGAGTGGCTCCCTTGCTGATAGTCTTCCTGCAAGTCAAACAAAGAAATACATATGGTAATGGAGGGAACCTTCTCAGTGTTTTGTGACTAGGCATAATATGCCTAGTGTCAGAGACTCACCTGTGACTGGCTCCTCAGTGAGAACCTAAGGGACAGCCTCGTGATTATTAGGCAGAGATTTCATTTCACAGATGAAGAAACTTGGGCACCCAATCATTAAATAGATGGAAGCTCACAAAACTCATTTGTACGAGAGTTAAGAGTTTTAACCTACGCCTCCGAACCATCCAGCCTATTGTAATGTTTTTTTCCCCCTTTTTGCAACCCTGCCATCTAATCTTATCACGATAAAAATACTTGGATGTAGGTGCCAAACCCAAATGAAACTCCACTGTCATTGGGTTGATTCCAACACATAATGACCCTATAAAACAGGGTAGAACTCTCCCTGTGGATGTCCAAGACTGCCACTCTGATGTAATTGGAAAGCCTCATCTTTCTCCCGCAGAGTGGTGGGAGGGGGGCTTCAAACTGGAGACCTTTTTGGTTAGTAGCCCAACTCATAAACTTTCAGATGGAGCAAAGTGCCCGAAGGTGCCAGAACACTTGACATTTAAATATAAATCTCATATTGTCCTCTCAGCCAATTTTCAACTTGCTTTGAGGTGAACAGGAGACCAAGGCTAAACATGCAAATAAATATGTGGTTACCAATTGCAATAGAGCATGCCACTAAACTTTCGGTCTCTGGTGAAAAAAGAATAAAAATGAGCAAGTGTAGGCTTATTGGCCAATGGAAGCCCTTTGAAGAGATAGCATCTCAGCTGAGAAGTTAGAAAGAAGCAGCACTAAGTAAAATGTGTGGAGGTGGAGATATGTGTGTCAGGGAAGAGGGAAGCATGACTAAGAAATGATGCATTGACTAGAAAGAGGAGATGGTTAGTATAGCTGGAGCTCTTAACTAAGAATACTTCTCTTCGGTGATTGTTGCTAGTTACCGTTGACTTGGTTCCAACTCATACTGACCCCATGTGTGTACAATTGCACTCCCGAGGTTATTCAATGGCTCTGTTATCGCTCAGAAGTAGATCCCCGGGCCTGATGAACCCATAATCCAACCTTTGATCCATAATCCACTTTTGGACCCATAATCCAAACTTTGACCCATAATCCACTTCTGAACCCATAATCCAACCTTTGACCCATAATCCACTTCTGAACCCATAATCTAACCTTTGACCCATAATCCACTTCTGAACCCATAATCTAACCTTTCAGTTAGTAGTCCAGAAGTGAACAAGACTGCCCATTTCTCTTCTAAGAACTAATTATTTTTTAAATTTTCTGTATAAAATACACAATCACAGAATCACAAGTGATCAGTTGAACCTTAACTGATAACACACAAGAGCTAGGGAATCCTCTGAAAATGTTCACCGATGTTATTCTGACTTACTGGGTGGGTGGGTGTGAGCTGGCCTATAGGCAGGGTGGTTAGCAGTAGACAGTCACCCTGTGTGAGCTGCACATTGCAGATCCAGTCTGTCAGTGGAAGCAAATGCTGCGGTAACAGATTCCCAGTGTCTACAGATACTAACCTAGGTTTTTTCTCTTGATCCAGGAGCGAAATAGTAGGATTACGATGGTGGCGCCAAGGATGCTGATCAGCCCGACAATGACTCCTGAAGTCAGAAGTTCCCTTCTGTTCTCCATCGGCACTGAGAGGGGGGACTGGGCAGAACCTTGGGAGTTTGGAGAGCAGAGCTACTGAGTAAGGATTGCAGCCAAAGTCTGCCCTTCCTAGAAGATAGCCACCGATTTACCTAGAGAGGTTTAATAAGCCATGTTGATCAAAGGAGAAGAGAAGCAGCCAGCATTCTGGTCCTCCATACCCTCCAGATGTATTGCCCGGAACAGCATTTACAGAAACCCGTCTTTGCTAGTACCCCACCAGCAGCACGGTGGCAGCACCAGCAACACGTTGCCAGGAAGTCGGTAAAGACATGGACCAAGACAGTTCTACAACCTGAGATATACCTGTGATGTTGAGAGGCACATCCTCGCTATGCTGGGCCCCCAGGCCATTGTCAGCCTCACAAGAGTAATTTCCAGAATGGTCTATGGTCAGAGAGAGGTTGAAGGATGCTCCTCTTCCAGAAGAGGCCCAGCTGCTTCCTAAGGTGGCATTCTTGTGATAAAACTGGTACTGGATTGGAGGAGAGCCTCTTTGGACTTCACAATAAAGCTCTACCATGTCCCCCACCACAGCCTGAGCCCCAGTGGTCCTGAGGGTGAGCACTGGGAGAGACACTGGAACTGAAAAGAGAAAGATGGCTGTCAGGGGGCTCTCTTATATAGGACAGACATGTAACCCCATTTGAACTTCCTCAGGGTGCCCCAGGGGGACATGTGGCCCAGCCAGAGACTTGCTGGTTGAGATAAGAGTAATGGAACTTACTTCTGACCGTGATGCTCACCAGCCCACTGACTTTGTGGCCATAGCCATTTCCAGCTGCACAGTAATAGTGCTCAGCATCACTCTCCCTCGCCGGAAAGATCTCAAACTCTGCCGTTAGGGAACGCTGGGCCTTTGTGCCCAGTTGTAAACCCATGGCCCCTTTGTACCAGAGGAAGGTGATGTGCCCTGTGCCTCTGGCAACCGAGCAGACAAGGATCAGCTTCTTTCCTTCTGTCACCTGTCCCCCTGGCGGCTGTGTTTCCAAGGTCACATCAGAGACAGGGACCCCTGCATGAACAGAAGATGACACAGGAGGGTTCGTGAATAGTAAGGATTTCAGGGGAAAGGTGGAGGTGTGCCAGTGCTGAAAGTAAAGGCCTCAGGTAAAGGCAGAGATTTAGGTAGTTGGAGGGTAAAGAAGGTGTATGTGATGGAGGAAATGTCTGCTGATGGTAGTGATGTCTGAGAGACACCATCATATTACCCTGGAGGATGTAGCATCTTCACCTCCCTTCTGGGTCAGTGTGACTCCAAGCTAGAGAGGCCTAAATACATCTCAAGGGCAACTCCTTCCCCCACAAGAGCAGAACACAGCAAACAGGGGGGACCAGCTCAGAGAGGACCTACATTTTCCATGCACAGTAGTGTAGTGCAAAAATCCTGGTTTCAAATCAATCTGTGTTTGACTGTTGATTCCAATTCCTACTTGCTGTGTGATCTTGATGACCTCACTTAACTTCTGTCAATTTCTTATCTGCAAAATGGAGCTAATCATAATAGTCATCTCCTACCGTTCTGAGGATTCCATTCAATAACATATATGAGGGCAAGGACTGCTACACATGGTTGAAGATTCATCATTTAGTGGGGAGGGCGTGGTTCTGGTCCAGTTTCACCAGTGTTGAGTTTGGAGCAAATTTAGGAAATTCTATCCTTTGGAAGTAGTAGGCTTTGCTTTATGGCACAATGGGTAAGCCTTTATCTGGGAATGGGAGAGAGTATTAGGAGTCTCTGCCCTGCAATGGAATGACATGATTCAAAATCATGAACATTCTCTTGTCTATTTGTCTTTCAAAATCAAGCCATTTTCCATAACTTCATCCATAAAGCCTCTTACTACTCAGTCAATTTTCTCCCTCCCCTGTACCTTCTACTAAAAAGTCAACCATATACAATATTAAAAAAAAAAAAAATCAAACTCACAGCCATGGAATCAATGCCGACTCATAGAAACCATGCTGGGGGTTTCTGAGACTCTAACTGTTTATGGGAGTAGAAAGTCCAATCTTTGTCCCACGGAGCTTGTGGTTTTGAATTAATTGCAGCCATGTGGATCGCAGCCTACCATGTAACCACGCCACCACCAAGGCTCTGCATACAATATAGCACCACATACGGTATTCAGGGCGCTGGTTGAACATCAGCTTCTTGTAGTCGGGGGGCCGTGTAGGTATATTAGGCAACAACTTCCCCACACACCCTCCAACCCTCCCGCATAGTGAAGCTGTGAAGACACACAATGTTTCCGAAGGAATCTTGCATGCCTGAAGAACAACAGGATAAAGGAACATCTCTTAAGGATCCAATTATGGATATATATATAAGGGGGCATACAGGTGCCCCTGTATATATGCATATATATATTCCTTTAAGATATTTCATCCACAAGTATAGGGTAATGTGTTATGATAATGGGCCTGTATCAGCATAGAGTATGTTCTAAGCCTAATCATTTCTGAGAGAGGTAAAGAACATCTTAGACATAGAGACAAGTAAGCACTCACAAGAAGGCAGATGCCCTGTATTCATCACTCAAAGACTGAGGAATTCTGAAAGAGAGCAAAATCCTGTCCCAGGCACATTCTGAATGTGACCTTTCTAGCCTCCTGAACTGTAAGAAAATTCATTTGTTTTCTAAAGCTATGACCATATTGGAGGGGGGCGGGGTGGTATCATAGCAGCACTAGGAAACTAAGACAGATCTGATGTAGGATCAGGTACGTCTCTGAACAGGCTCCCCTCCTGGCAGCGCAGAATACAGCAGGGGGGAGTG